CCCCACCATACACACACTATACAAGACTATGACTTTATTTTTGAGTTATTATGCATTATACGCTACACAAACAAATCATGACAAAATATTTTTTGTAATAAAGGAGGCACGACCTGGCCCAAGTAGCCCAGGGGTTGGATGACTTTGGCTCTCTTTGAGGTTAAGTGGTGAATCTAGAAAATGTACTAGGCATCGCCCATTAGGGATGCTGTAACTCTGGACTTCTGGCAAAGGGCTATGTGCACGGGCAGAGACAAGAGTTATTATAGTTCTTGTTATAACTAAAATGAAGTGTTTCTTTGGGGGTAGAAGGGCAGAGGAGAGGATGGGTGGCTGTGAAAGACAGCCGCACCTACCATGAGAAAGGGAAGTACGAGCTTGAGAGGGACAGTGAAGTGGTGATGGGCAGGTGGCTCCCCAGGGTGTGAGGCATGAGAATGGAGCAGGTAGGGAAGGGAGAGAATATGGAAGGAAAATATTTTAGTGTATGGAGGCACTGACTGGGAGTTCAGAGAGGCTCTCCTTGGTCAGAGTGGGAGTGGTGGGGTGGAGGGGTTGGAAGTCCAAGGGTTGTTTTGTTGTACCTTCTGATTTTAATATTTCATTCTGTTTTTAAGTTATTTTGTCTGTTATTGTAACCCTCCCTGAGCCTTTTTGGGAAAGGGCAGCATATAAATCAAATAAATAAACAAACATGCTCCTGATATTGTTGGCCTGAACAATGCTAATATTTCATAACCCAAATTCAAACAATGCTGGTTACAGAAGGCTCTGGGTGTTTACAACAGAGAGAAGGAATACACATGCTTGAGGCTAGCTCGACATATGGCCATATGGTTAACTGTGAGTTTAAGCAGCTCAGATCTGAGCCTCCTACCCACAGCGAGACAAAGGAAGACTGCATACAATTATGCAGAGACTCCTAACTGGGAGATTTTAGGCTGGTGAGCCGTTCAGTTTAGCAAACGCAGGTTGGCAGGATGGCAATTACCCAAAGACGTTTGATTTGAGGTATCTGAGAAGAGACCCAGAAGCATGGCTCTTTACACAGTTTCACACAGCCTCCAAGAAAAAATAAGAAATAAGAACAATTCTTACACCTCATTCTTTTAAACATTTATATAAGTTTGGGACATTTTTATAAAGTGGTCTCCCTCTGGAACTGCAATTGTGAGTACATGCAAAATGTCCCTTTAAGGGTCACCACATCTGGCTAGCTGGAGAAGTACAGGGCCAAGCTGGAAACACCTTACTTCGCTGTTAAGTCAATTCAACAAGAGGCCCATAAACTCTGTACAAGACGTGATGGTAAGGCAATGGGTTAGGAAATGATGGAACCCAGGAGAACAAAACATGTGCTTGTAGTTATTTCAGCCCTGATACGGGACCCTGGTAATAAGACCTATTTGACTATCTCTAAACCAGAGCAGAAGAGTGCTCACAGGTCCAGGTAGCATTGGCTATTAAACTGATACTATCCTGGGTCCCAGCCAGAAGGCAACAGCCCATATCTAGCACTTCTTTTAACCACATCATTCATGCTTATAAAGCTACACTATTCTAACTTTGAAAGTCAAGTCTCAGGATTCCAGAGCCTAACACTCAGCACCTTACCTGAATGTATTTTCTCTGAGTCTCATCATTCAGGACATGGGCCACATGTTTAGAGAAAATCTTTTCACGGCCAGTTCGGGCATGGATGCCAACCATGGTGACTCCAATGGGCCAAGGTGCATTCCCAATGGCCATCTGAAGGTAAGCGTCATTCGCCTGAAGTAACAAGAATTATAAATACTTAGGAAAGCAAAAGATGATATCAGAAAGTAAGGGGTTCCCAGAGTTCACTTCCCATAATCACCAACACCAGGGCCATCCCTAGGTAGGGGCACATTGGGATGACCGCCCCAGGCCCTGCGCTTTGGGGGGACCCCACAGAACCAGGTGGAGTGGCCATGGCAACTCCGCACCACTGCCACCAGCTTCAGATCCGGCCACTCGCTACCCACCCGCCCCAGCCACCTTCTTTGTGTCTGGGGCACATGGGATCAGGGCCTGCTCGGATTGGCTCTGATCAACACACACATATCAAGCTCTCTCCCTGAAATGAAGAATTATTTATTGAAGTCTATTTTACAATCTAAATGATCTTGCATTTGACTCCTGAAATCAGTGACAAACATAAATTTAATGCTTTGATTATATACAGGAGGGAAGGAGAATCCCAGGTAATAAAATGTAACACTGACCAGAAAGTCAAGTTTCTGGAGATCATTTTGACTACAGAATCCTTTAATGATGACTTTAACTTCCTGCTAACAAATTTCCTTATTTTTCAGAAGCTCTCTGGACATTGAGGGAAAATAAGGAGAGAAAAAAAGAGGGGGAGGATGAATGACTGGGCCAGAAGCCCACTACCAAAGCAACTGAATGGGGGGCTCAAGACAGCTTCCACATGGCTGAGATTGCCCTCACACACGCATGGACCTAGACAGTGTTTGAAGAAATAAGCCAGCTGTGTGAAGTTGTCTTCCAACAAAAAGACAGACAGCTCCTTTGCCGCTCTCTACAAGGGTGGGCTGCATTTAAACTCAACACCTATGGGCAGGTTATCAGCCATGATGACTGAACCTGGTACTGACAGATCTAAAAGCAGGAGCTTTGACTGACCAAGTTATAAGCCCCTGGACTTTGAGCTCAAAACTCCAGGTACTAGGGGGAACAGAGCTGTGCTTGCTTCACGTTCCAGGATATGATGGTAGTACCACTTACTGGTGGTGCACCCAACACTTCCCACAATTAAGCTGCCATTTTGATTATTTATAATTGTGCTGAACTTTGGCAATTCCAGCTGAAGTCTTCTTACCTTTGGCTGAACTGTTTTGCAAGTTTTAGCCAAAACAGCTGATGAAGGAGAAAAAAAATAGATGGGAGAAAACACTGTATCCGTTCAGAAAAGATTCTCAAACTCTGACACCTAGGAGCTGCAGCACCTCCCAACTTTTCAGCACAGACCTGAAATGGGAGGGAGGCCCACCCTGGTATTAGGGATGTGCCTTTTGCCGGTCCCCTGGAAACCAAGCCTTGCCAAGATAGAAGTCTCTTCAAAAATTCAAGTTCCTGAACACTCAGCCAAGACTGGTCTCCAAAGAGCTCATCTGCATGAGCAGGCCCCAAGCCAGGTCTGTGGAGACTGTGTTGAACTCATCCTATTATCTCCCCCACCCCAAGCATCTAGGAGTCGTGACAAGGAGTGGAAGAACAGAGTAAAGACATTCCCTTCCACACTCTCCATCTTGCCCCATGCCTCCTGGGACCCTGGCAGCATGGAGAAGATGTGAAAGCACTGGAAAGCAGAAGGGTCAGGAAAGGACAGGGAGAAACGTGGGGCAAGGCAGGTGGTCAGGATCCAGAACCACTACAGCATCCTGCCTTCCAGGGCCTGAAGTCTCTTCTCTCTGCTGTCAGCAAGCAGCTGTAAAACTACTGGTAAAGTACAAGCTAAAGTGATTGGCCTACAACCTGCTACTGCTACCAATTACTCCACTGCCTGATGGGCTGCCTAGATGCTGAGGATTTAAAAAAAAAAATTAAGGAAAATTTTGTGTCCCATGTCAAATCAGCCAAATCAATTCCAAATCTGAGAGTCATCCAAGAACCAAATGTGGCCCTATTACCAGCAAAGATCCTCCAACCCCGCATGGGGCTTCAGATGCTTCCAAATCCTTTGGCGGGCATCCTACGTGCAGGCCCAAGCCCGGAAGCTTGGGGCTCAGATGCCCCTGAGTTTGGCTTGCCCTCTGCCTGCTGGAAAGGACGCAGGGGACTGCAGGAAGTGAGAACCGAAACCCTGCTCTGCTTGGAGGCCGGGTAGGGACGGTACACTTTAAGGACACCTGTAGCCACTCACAACACATGGAGATATTTCAAGAAACACTAAATATCCAATTACTGAATGTGGTGAGTCAGGGGGGAGAAGGGGGGTGGAATTGCCTGTGATCATAAAGCAGTCAGTCATTAAAGGGTTCATTTTGGTTTACAGGAGACAAATTCTGTCATTTCCCAGCTTACATGAGCTCCATGTTACCAACGCAACTATCTTTCACCATTTCCTGGAGATTTTGAGTGTACAGCACTAAAAATACACAACTTGTTGCATACAGCAGAAAGCACAAAAGTTATCAACAACTGAGGAAGGCAAAATCTTGTCAGGAATTAAGATAGGGAACTGGGTAGAAGGGATGGAAGCATCTTCAAAAGTGTCAGGTCCACAAGCCTCAGAAAACCTTCCAAGTGCATATTCAAAGGCACCAAGCCAATCTAAGTATAAAATCAAGCACCTGCAGAACAGACAGGCACAGCTGATCCACCCACATTTGCCACATGCCAGTTGCTTTCTTAGGGGGACATTTAGAATAGACAGATTGTAATTCAGAAATGTCTTAGCCTGACTTCAAACTGGCTTGAATTAAACTTGCCTTAGGGCACACTACGTTCCTAAAAACAAAATCAGGCTTGCTTGCTAGGCACATTATTCCAAGTCCTCACAAGTCTTGGGGAAAAAAATTGGAGGGGGAATTACAAGGCTCAGTTTCCCTTGCCACCCACTCATGCTTGCCTAGAAACGATTTCAGCATTCAAGCTATTTCTGAAGGTGGTTATAGTATGCTTCATGTAAAATGTATAACTGTCACTGTTTTGGGGCACCAAGTAATTCCAGTTGCCTCCTCTAGGTTCATTTTTTACCCAATAAATGTAAAAACTTCATCTTCAATCTTGCTAATTCTGATTACGCACCTGCAGCCCATGAAACTGAGATTGTAAGCAAGGCAAGATTTATCCCTCTTCAGTAGCCACATCCAAATCCAAGACTTTCCAGGCAGCTCTCTTGCTGAGAAACAAATATGAATCCAAAACCTGGAAGCCCGCCATTCAGTTCCAGGAACTATACAGTGAATTCCCTACCTCCCTCTGCCTGGTGTCTAACCAGAGGCTGATGTCAATTTTGTCTGAACAGCTGTTATGTCTAACCCTAACTACGTTCCCTCTGAGGACCTAAAGCCTTCACACTATATACTCAATCTAATTAATACAAGGTAGTTTCAACACTTTGGAGGCTTTTAAACAAACATACCTTCACATACTCCCGTTGCAACATGAATTTAATAATATCTGTTATTGATTCTTTGATGTCTGCAGGAAGAGTCTGGAAGAGAAGACACATCAGTTTTACTTATGAACAACACATAGCTCTTGAAAGTCCTCCTACCGTAGAAGAGCTCAGCACCTACAGATCTCAAAGCATGCTAAAGAAAATAGATGCATCTAAATAAAAGTATTGTGCAGACAAGGTGACTGAGGCCTGGGAAGCTTAAGTGACATGGCCAAGGTCCCAGTAAGTCAGCGGCAGGCTGGAAGCAAACCGCAGATTCTTTACCACCTCACCAGTCCACTGAACTTGCGATGCATAAAATGACAATTGTGCAGGCAATGGACAGTTATTTGAAGTAGATGATACAACTCAGTGATTAGGGCACAGAAAGGAGAACCAGGTAGTCTATTGGGTTTTCTTCTCAATTGTGTGATTGGATAAGCCTGAGCAAATCTTGGTCTCCCTAATTCCTTTTCCCCATGTGCACAAAGGAGGTAACATTTTCTTAGATGAGAAACAGCATGTAACCACTGAATATTCTGTAAGTCTTGCTGAATAGTAGCATTTTAAAAATCCTTCACCCTTTTCCGTAGTTTTCTGAAGAGGGGTCGGAGGTAGGATTCTGTCTGCTTTTGAGTGGCACTGCTCAGCTTCCCCTGCACACCACGTTTGACATAATCCTCCCTGGCATTCAGCTCCTTGGCCCAAACTCCAAGAAGAAACTGCAAAGGGAAGGAATAAATTAATGATACACTGCCACCTCGTGGCTAGACTCACAAAGTGCATGCATAACTGTAAAAAAAATGAGGAAAATGTCTGGACAAAACTCAAAAAGGTGGTTTTCAGGAGGGAATTGAATTAAAACATGGCATACAAGGATCATAAAGTTGTGCCAGGCATAGGGGATGGCACAGAAGGTACCACAAAGCAGAAGGAGGCAACTTGGGAAATGCCAAGATTGGACGTCACTGCTGGAACTAACAGGCAAGCCAAGACAAAGAAACAAAAACAGAGACATTGGTGGGAGACAAAAGGAAAAGTTTCAGCATTATTTCAGCTAACCACCACACAACACTCCTTTCAGATCAGAGCCCAAAAAACATTCTTGCACTACAGTCCCACAACATGAGTTTCCACGTCTCTTGTGCCGCAGTGCACTTGCACACGATCCAAGGTAAATGGGTACCTGGGCATTTAAGATAAGGAACAAAACGTGGCCAAACACAAATACTAATCACATCACACTAGGTGCCACTAGCCAGGGCTGACAGGCCTGACGGACCTTCCAGGCTCAGACAGACCATGACAGACTGATTTGTACAGAGCTGTCACAGCTTGCTTAAGCTCTCTTAATCCAGTCTAACTTAAGTGTCACAGGAAAAGATTTACCAAAAATGTGTTAAATAAGCATGAAAAATCAGAACCAGTTTTCAAAAATGTTATGCATCTACCAGTTCCTCACTCTGTCCAGTAGGAGGTGTTGAGCCCTTCTGAAAAATCTAGCTACCTAAATAGAGACTGGCTAAATAGGGTCTTGATGTCTTTAAAAAAAAAAAAAAAAAATCTATCCCTACACATACCAAGGCAGAACAGCCACAACCAGAACCTCTTGTTTTTAATTATTTTTATTACATTCACTAAATCGTACTCTTTGCTAATGCTGAAACAGAATCATCCCACCAAATTAAATCTCTTTACCTTTAAGAATTTGGTTATGATGTCCATGTCTTTATGGTCATCCCCTTTTCCTAAGGACTCTCCCAAAGCCTGAAAGAAGAGAAAAGCTGTATGTTTTCCTTCCACATCTTCCAGTTACTTGTTTCTGCCAAAAAAACAGCCAATAACACTGCGCAGGCTTCTGACATTCATGAATCTACTGCCTGTGGGCAATAAGGAACCAGCTGCAGATTTCTTAAATCTGACTTATCTGGGATTTCTAACGTAAAAGCATTCTCACTTACTAAATCATAGGCATGACAGGCAAAGATGCTGAGCCCACAACTCCTGGACATTGATGGTTATGATTTGCATTCAGTATTTTAAAACCTCTAACAAATCAGCTCAGAGTGACGTTATTAACGTTATGCCATGCTTTATGCTATTTAAATTCTCTGTTCAGAGTTTCACATTTCTGTTTACTCGGACAGGGAACCTTTGTATAGTCAGCTCCAAGATAACCCTCTAAGGGAGCGTCCACACATGCAGGCACATGCGCTTGCAGCAGCTCAAACAGAAGCGGCACAAATTTGAGCCAGGGATTTTTGCCTCAGCGCACATGCCTGGACATGTACTTTGGTGTAGGGAAAGTTGCACCACTTGGGGCACAATAACCCTGCTCAGCTCCACCTGGATCTGCAGCCAGAGGAAGCTAGAACCTGGGGCCAGCACCTGTGCTGGCCCCAGCACTTTAAAAACCTGCCCTGTGCCAGCCCCAGCAGTATAAAAACCTGCCCTGGTGAGCAGCTCAGGGCTGCTTGTCCTCAGGAGCTTCTGAAGCCTAGCCACTTGGTATCTAGAGACACTACCCCTTGTGCCAACTGGACTGCTGAAGCAGCCCCAACCTGGAATGACCCCGTCCCCTCTACCCACTGCAGCAGTCTGGCAGTGGGGGATGCTGCCTAGCTGTGACCTGCTGCCATCTGCGACAGCATCCACCCCCTTGGACCTGTGGCCCCATGGCTGTGCCCCTGCCAGACCCCCACTCTGCCATCTGGGCAGCTATCACCCAAAAGATGTGCTCCTTGCGGTGGCCCACTTTGAATTGTCCAAGTGTGTCCTCTTGGCCCCAAATGGCCAACAGGTCAGCCACCTCGTCTGCCCCTCCAGCTGGGTCCCCAGTGCTGGCCCTGGACAGGGTCGTCTGTCCGGGTCTCGCCACTTGTCTCACCAGCAGAGATCCTGGTGTTCCCTGTTTAAAAATTGCAAATTCTCTGATAAGAAACCCAAATTCTCTCATTCAAACAGCCAAAATAGCGTTCTTCTGCTATTAAAATGAAATGCCACTATATATAGAGAGATCCATCGGGCAATGTTTTATTGATACATTTACAAGTTTAAAGTAATTTGGAAACCTACCAGAGTCTCTATCATCGTAATAAAATACATTCTAAATATCTATACACTTTGGCATTTACTTTTGGCTTTTTTGTCATAGAAAAGTCAGAGCTGACCCTACCCCCTTCACTCACCAGGGTGTGCAGTGCTGAGCAGCACTGATATGCCAGTGCCCTGCCTCTGCCTCTCAACCCACAGCCTGTCCCTCATCCCAGTCCCCTCACTCCTTACCCACAGGGCCAGGTATGTGGGTATGGGGTTTGTGGGAGTGGCTGGGCCCAGGCAGGGAGGCAGGCAGGGGGGTTGGGGCCAGGCAGGGGACCCACCCCTCCTGAGCTGCGCCCCCATGGTCCCCTGCACCCCCAGTAGTCCCCGCACCCCTCCCACCCCTACTTACCTGGAATGGAGCCCAGGTCCAGGTCGCTGCAGCCTGCACGACTGTTTGTCCTGCATAAGCAGGTAGTGTGCTTCAGCCCCAGGGCAAGAACCAGCCATAGAGATGCTCTGGCTGGCTACCAGTGCATCTCTGTGGAGGACCCAAGCCTCTGGTTGCCTCAGGGCATGGTCTGGGACCGTGCCCTGCTCTTTTTTCCCCCGGGGTATTTTTTGATACCTGGACCTCCAGGTATAAAATTCTGACCCTGTGCTGCAAATATGCAGCACAGGGAACATTTTTTTGTTCCCAGAGTGCTTCTTACAGCATCTCAAACTGATTTGGGATACTGCAAGAGGCATTTGCACTCATCTGGACGCGCCCTAATAGTGCAGCAGTCTGCTGACATGTACACACTACAAATGCTACTTTTATACTTCTTATAAAGACCCAGTGTTTGTAAGGCCCATCTACATGAGAAAATTGATCATCTCTGTCTCGACAGGACTTTTGCATGAACTGGTTGCAAAGAGGTTTAACCATACTGTTAGTGTTTGCAGCCTGTTTCTACCCATCCTTCGATGAGATGGCCTGAGTAGACACCTTATCTAAATCCAGCCACGAAGTTTCCATATGACACTGGACACCCTGAGAGAGAGAGAGTTAGATTAGCATATTATATACCTCCAATTCTTCAATAGTAGTGTTTTCTTCATGGACTTTCAGATCATTCTGCGAGTCATCTTCTCCTGCTTCTTGACCACCTACAATTTCATTCAGGTACTGTTGATCAATCTTATCCAAAGCCGCCTTCAGGTCATTTCTCAATCCCTGAGAGAGAAAGGAGAAATAGTTACTATATAATCATAATCCTATTGCTTTGGATAATGCCAGGAAACTTTTTACTTTTGTCCAGTAAGGGCTGAATTCTGAGGACTTGCATAACTTCTTAACTTTAAGAAGGGGGGCTGTAAAGTCAAAGTGAATTCAAAGGGCAAAGCTTCTAGACACATGAATTGAGATTACTCATCTACTTAAAGTTAAGCGGATACACAAGAGTCCACTGAACTGAAACTTAAAAACACAGCAATTAGCACCTTTTCTGCCATTTTCAGCTAAAAAACTATAGGGACTGAATTAGCTTTCAGTGCAGTCAGCACAGTACCTTAATAGTAATTCTAATGCAAGAAATGCATTGTCTGTTGGGCTTCATCAAGTCTTCCCATCTGCAACCATGCTTTCTTTATTTAAAACAGCTCTAAACATCCATGCTGTTTCCCTTTAGCACGTGTAAATATTGTTCTTCTTTTTAAACAAAATTGAATGTTTTATTTGAATTCCAGTTAAAGAGAATTTAACTTCACCTACTTTCAAGTGTGCATGAAAAAAATAAGTAATATTACATATGGTTACAATCTGGTACTAAATTTTTATAATCAAAAGAAGACAGCTTGTCAATAGGCACAAATTTCTCTAAGGAATGGAACTACTGTGACAGGCTTTTAAATTATACAGAAAGCTAGAATTCAATCTGCCACTCCTAACCCTAAGCCAAGTTCATGCACTCCTATCACTTCAAAAGAGGTAGGTATGTATTTTCTGAGTGATCTTTTTTGACTCTCAGGAATGATCCAGCTGCCTTCATCAGTTTTGGATATCTGACCCACACTAACTATTAAACCCCCCCAAACATAGCTCAACTGCAAGGGGCTCAAATGCATGCTAAAAGTAGTGTAAATTATTTTATTTCCTGTCCTCAGGCCTGATTCCACTTCCAGTGATGCTAATAGCAGTTTTACCTGACCTTGGTAGAGTCAGGCCTCAGTTCGCCAGAACTGTATCAACTCTTTAATCTTGTTTATCCTACTTTAGGCCAGTAAACAGAGGAGAAAAGACACAGAAGCTGTGCAAAAGAAACAGGTTTAGAACGGCCCATCTCCCATGGTTTGTAGAGCTCTTGGTGGTTTGGACTGGCTTGAAACTATTTTCCAATAATATTGTTTATAATAAGTAAGAAGG